TAAATTATTCCCACGTGGCGGCTAACGATTGGCCTGTTAGCCGTATAAAAGGCTTGAGCGATTTCCGCCCAAGCCGAAGAGGACTCCACATCCATCTCGTGGGGACTCTGGGTACACGGCAGGGTAATAGAAACCCTGTGTGAGATCCAGAGGAGCGTGGCGGCCTGATCCACTGCCCACCTCTTCCCGTCTTCGAACGCAACTTTTATAAGACGTATTTACGATTCCTATTTTGGTGGCTCGTTCACCCAGAGCATCCGGAGCTCTGCACCGTGGAGCCTAGCAACCTCCATGAGACTGTCTGTGTTGTCTGTCTGTAACTGCAACTTAATCAAGCTTTCCAGCCTACACCACTGCCATCTCGGTGTAAGTAAACAATCTTTAAAACTACCGCTACGCGTTTGTGCCTAATTCCAGCTCGAAGGCCTTCCCTCTCCGACCCGGCGTGCCCGGGCTGCTGGCCACAGCCCGCATGCAGCGTGGAAAAGGGCTCGGGTCACTCCCGGCCCGTACAGTTTTATTTGGAAATGCAAAAAGAGAGACCACTGCTACGCTGCTGAAATTGGTGGGGAGCAAAACTTTGTTCTATTGAGGACAAGTAAATAACTATGTATAACATATAGTTGTTGTTAAAAAGAACAGCCATTTAGCTGTTAAATATACAGACCTTTACTACATAAAATACCAGTATTTAGCACCCAGAGGCTCTTTACTGAGTCCATAACATACTGCAGTTAAAGATCCTTTCAGATCTTGGATCAGTAAATCAAGAATGGTTGGATTTAAGTCAGAGTAGTTAAATCGATTTTAAAAGGGATGCCAAACAAGGATTAGATCTGTTTTATTTATTGCAAGCCCCCAAAGAGATCATTGCATACCTTTAGATTTTAAATCCAGATTTGTTTTAAAAATCTGGCCTCTTGATTTTGTGTCTGCAGACACGTGCAGGTGTAATTAGAATCGGTTTGATGTTTAGGAACCCAGTAGAGTCTCCTAAGAGTAGGTGGTTTGACATCGAAATAACATCACTTGTCCCTGTGTGATTGAGGTTGAACTGAGATCTTCATTACGTTAAGGGCATAAGCAAGAGGTGTAACGATGAAGCCAGCATCCTGGACAGCTGCCACACACGGGGGCAAAGCAACTTTACCGCTATGGTAGCAGCCGTTTTTGCCCACTCCTCCCCCAAGTTGGTCACCAGGGCAGCTGCCCTGGTCTCCCCACCCTCGTTACATCACTGCCATAATCTAATAAACAGCTTGTTAATTTAATCTGAGTGCTCCATACAGGACCAGATTCTTATCCTTGCTTATATAAATGAGCAAAGAGGTAGTTAACCATGTTAGCCTGAAGTCGGGCCAGGCTGGCACCAAAGGGGCGGAGGGGGTGTGTGGGGTGCTTTAATTAGAGCAGCTCTGAGAGCCACTCTAATCAAAGCACCTGCAGCATGACATGTATTCAGTGTCCTGCGGTTCAAAATGGCAGTGGGGGGCACTTTAATTCAATGAGCTTTAGTTAAAGCACCCCTGCTGCCATTTTGAACTGCTGGGACCCTGAATACACGTGCCACGGAGGCTGCTGGAGTGCACTATTTAGCAGGCTTGGTTAATCGAGTCTGCTCCAACGTGCGCCAGTTAGCACGCATCGGAGCAAAGGTCCATCATGTGTATAGGTGCCCTTGGTGACTAACTTGTTCAGAATTGTATAAGCTTTCATAGGCAACAGCCTACCTTGTCAGATGCTATCAATGGAGTTACAAATAAGCAAGAGAGGGCAGGGCCAAAAGGAAAACTGCAGAGCGTGACGGCTAATTCCATCATCCCGAGTTCCCTCTATCTGAGCGCATCCACATGCTTTGCAGTTTTACTACCGCAGCCTCCTACGGGCAGGGCTTAGATAGAAGTGTGCGGGGGTATGATCGTATCATGCATTTGGACATAGCTTTCTTGATGCACCCTCTTACGCTTGTATTACTGTTGCCCCGGCCATGCGGGTTCCACACATGGGGTCATGTATGCTATTTGCAAGCGTGTGTGTGTGTGTGTTAGAAGCATTCTTTTGTGCCCATTTTGGCAACAGGATTACAGAGGCAGTGCCTGTGTCCCAGATCCACAAATACCCTTTTCAAAGGGTGTAATTTATCTTAGCTGATTTTTTTTTCTCCTTTGAGCTGAAACAGCCTAGCGAAGTTAGAACTATAAACTCCCCGGACATAAATGAATAGGTTCGCTAGGCAGTATAAAAAAAAAAAAACCAACAAGGCACTTGGTGGGTACATGGAAGGGAAAAAAATCCCTGTCAAGCCTTTTAAAACATGTGCTCGTTTCAATTGACTGGCTGGTTGTTGTCTGCGGAGGTGTCGCTGCTGCGAATGGGTCATTGATTCTGAATCAAAGCCTTCATTTCAGGGTTCAGAGTCCATTTCCCTGTAGTGGAGGAGTCCTCGGAGTTGTGACCCTCCATCTGAAGTCACGCGTGGTGTATCCTCTTCTCAGCTTTCTGCTTCTGACTTTTGTAACTTCCGCTGTCAAGCGGCATGTTTCGGGGTTGTATATTGAGCCGAGAGATTTGTTAGGGAAATGTTTTAAATTCCATTACACTGAGTCTATTTACACTGAGAGCCCTCTAGCTGCTCTGAGGGCTCTTAATGGGATAAGGACCCTTCCTTTTCAATTTAATTGGTTTAGATTTTGTCTGGGCCACTAATGAGGAAAACCATTACCAACTGGCAGCTATTTGATGGTCTAAGCAATAGCAACCTGTAGTCTCACTTTAAAGGAAAATTGTTTATGAATAGAAATAATTGGGTGAAATTAAAAGGAATGTGCAAAGATGGACGGTCAAAAAATCCTGGTTGCAGTGAGATGTGCTCGGTCAGTGGTTCCCAACCTTTTTTATATTGCGGACCGGCAAACTGCAGACCAGCCACCAACCCTTTGTGGCTTGGTACCGGGCTGCGGCCCGGTGGTTGGGAACCTGTGTGCTGGACTATGGGACAGCTTCCCAAGGATTGTGAAAATCCCATCATCAAGACATTTGAAGTAACTGGAACAAAGCACAAACAAGGCATAAAAGAGAGGACAGTCCTGCATGTATAGAGGTGGCTGAGTTGGCCCACAAGATCTTTTGTGATTTTAGCATTTCTGATTCGTAAGGGAAAAGCATCCACAATCCACTTCCGCAACAGGAACCATTATTGGTGATCGTAGCAGAGCAGTTAAAGAATGAGCAGATGTGCAGATTAAAAGGGCTTATGACCCTTAAAGGAAATAGGTTCCTTCGGAGCTCAATTGGGGTTTATCAGCAAAATGAGGACTGTATCTGTTCAGAGGATAGGGGTTTTTTTGGAAGAACTGAATCTTAATTTTAAGCCAAACATTTTAAGACAGACTTTTCTTAAATTTGAAATCTAGGTGTGGTCTTTGAGATGATTTGCTTTTCATACTGATCATTACTATCTGTGTAGAAAGTTGTGCCGACATTTCAACTTGCAATGGATTTTTTAAAGTTATTGTGTGTGACTGCTTTGGAAGATATGAAGTAGGAACTTAATTCAGGTGGCAAAGTGATCCAAAGAATAATGCGTTAGGGTGAGATTTCTTAAAAGCTCTTAAGTGATTTCCAATGGGATTTGTGCTCCAGAGTCACTTAAGTGATTCTGAAAATCCCACTCTTAATAAATATAAAAACATGGCCGGATCTAGGATTTTGAAAAAGGGAAATGTAGATGGTGGGGCACATCATCACATATAACACAACACACGTTTTTATCCAGGTAAACCGAAACTGGAAGCTTTACTAATATGGTTGAGGGCTAGCGCTGTTACCAGTTTAAGATCAAAGCAAAAAACAAATATAACGATTGGAATGTGCACTAATTTGCTAGAGTACATATAAGGTTTAAAAAAACGCAACAAACTGGGAAAAAATAGTCACAGTATATTGTATCATTACTCCTGTAGCCATTATAGTGAAATGTATATCTCTTATTCAGATTTATAAAACAAAATCTAGCTTTCTTGAGCATCTCCAATACTTTACTGTCTGTCATTCCTACACTCGAGTTCAGGTTTTTAGCTAGAGCTAAAAACAGTCTGCAGGCTATGAAATAGAAGAGAATGGCTAGCAGACGGCAACACTGCAGAAGAAACGATGGTTTGAATAGTGAAGCATCAAGACCATTAAAAGGAGAGAGGGTCATTAACACCTATGGAGTGGAGAGAGATCAACAGGAAACTAGGAGATTTTAGAAGTCCCTTGACTCTCCCAGCACTACCTGAATAGAAATACACTTCCCCTCCCAGGCACTTAGTTTGAAATTTTGGGTGGAGCAGGAATCAAAGCGGGGTGCAAGTGCACCCCTGCACCTTTGGTGGATCCAAAATATGTTTTCTGTGAAATGTTTGCTTAATGTACCCCTTGGATCTCAAGAGAGGGTAGACAACCTAGACAAGTGGCAGGGTCGTCTTCTCAGAAGTAAGAAAAGTGATATTGAGTCAAGAATCGGTGCCCCTGATTCAGGCACTGTGTTGCTGTATAACCTTGTGCTAGTCACTTAGAAAAATGCATTTCAAACATGCATGATTCACTTAAAGACTTAAATTGGGTCAAAACACTAAAGGAAAACTCCCATTAAAATCTAGGGTCTGTGGGAAGTCTGGGCATTGTTCTTCCTTTGACACAATCCGCAAGGACGGTGTCACTCCAGCAAAGGACAGGAGATAACTGTTTGGGATGATGCTCCAGTACACAAAGGGATCTGACGACCCGGTTTATGTCGTTTCAGTAATCATGCGAGTACCACAGCAGCAGCCAGTCCGCGCCAACAGTTGCTGGAGCCTCCAACACGCTCGTCTTTGTTCCCAAGTGGAAGTAACCTCACTCAAGACCGGAGCCTTCCTCCTGCTAGCCCAGACACCAGGTGAGCCCGGCCGTTAAAAGAACAGATTATTATAGGATGGGATGAAGGTCAATACTGCAGCGCCCAAGCCCTGAAACCATTTCCCCAGATGTTGTTGTTTTCTCCTCTGTTACATCGGTAGCTTCATTAAACACACATTGCTACCATGTGAAAAAAAAAACCTGGCCATTCGTGGGGATGATTTCATGTAGGCTTTATAATTCACACTGCAGCATGAGGATGGCTGGAGGGTTTTTGTAGCAGCATATTGAGAGAGGCGAATGAGGAAAGCAACTGGAACACCACGTCGAGAAACAGGACGAGAGCAATAACCGTTAAAGTCACAATTTATCCAGGGGTCCTATAGCCTAGGATATTGCAGCTTTTTCCTGTTCTCGGTACGGGGAGATCTGTGCTAACTGCTGAACACCGCTGGGGAGGTATTGTCGGTACAAAATCAGGTGATTTTCGTACGTGTTGTGACATCGGAGAACCCTCCAAGGCATCGACCCTCCAACCCACCTGCTTTCTTGCCACGTTTCCCATGTGTGCCCACGTTAATGCTGCTCCCCATGCCTTGGCTAGCCTTTTAGCTCCTCTGTATCCCCAGTCTGAAATAAAGCAGACTTCTGGGGATAGTGGAGAGGCCGCTACTCCTTCACTCAAACACGGTAAAGTGCTGCAGGGGGAAGCTCTGGGGGTTGGGGAAACTAAGTAGCCCCGTCTCCTGCTATTCCCCGAGGAACTTGTTATCCCCTGCAAGGGAAAGCTGCTGTGAGGGAGGAGAGACAGACCCATTCCAGGTTGAGAATAGAGAGAAACGTGGTCAACTTTCATATAGAAGGGGAAACTGAGGAGCAGCATAGTGGCTAATCCCGTTCCCATTCCACACAGGCCACAATGCCTTTTCAGGCATATTTGAAATGCAAAGTTTTGGCTGTCTCTTTTTTTTTTTTTTTCTTGCTTCTCAAAATATTTGGCATTAATTACTTCTCTGAAGCATGTGCATGCAGACAAAGACCGGGCCCATTAAGGCCTCATCCTGAGAGATTTTAAACATCCGCAGCCCCCATTAAGGATGCTCGAGCTGTAGGCTGGGGTGTTGCTGCTTTCCTTGCTGCTGAAATGTTCTGTTCCTTTTAAATCCTAAAGAGCTGGCACATTTTCACTCTGAGCTATACAGCCTGCCACTCTAATTACAGCAGTTAATTAGCACGCTGTAAAAATGTTGAAATCATAGGCCTCCACAGATTCGTCCGTACTGGGTATTTGTACCACAGTGGTGCGTGCTGACGGAGAATGGGGTGAGTGCGAACGAGAGATTAAGTATATAATAGGTTGCTGAGGGATTATGCATCATCAGGCCATACCAGTAAAAGGCAAGACCTATAACTCAAGAGTGTGAAGCAGTGATGAGTTGTAAAGGTCTTACCCTTCACATCTGGGAATAAATATGTCTTTCCATTCTCCCACATTGCGGTGTTTTGACTTTCGCAGTGTTTTCATTTAACACTGTTAATAGCACAGTGAAAAACAACTGAGAGGAGCGAAAAAGCAAACTGCTAATCTGATTCATTTTCTTTGCCTGCGTCAGGCCTATGGCGAATTTATCTAGAGTCATGTTGTCAAATCCACTGGCAAGGAGAAGTAATAAAAGCTTGGAAGAAATTTGTTTAGAGGCATGATGGAAATCTCCTGTGTAAACTCACATTTGTGTTTTGGTACCAAAAAAATCTTCAGAGGCTTAGCAATAAAATCTGCCGTGATTTTTCTTTCTTTCTTTCTTTCTTTTTTTTTTTTTTGCCTATGTCACAGTGAATTAATAAATGTACTTTTGTTTTTCAATTTCATGCTTCCAGCAATCGGGATGGAAGAACCAGTAAAATAAAAAATCTTACCGGGTAAGAGGATGACGTAAATGTAAATGACTGGGCACAACAATCAAAGCACTCTCGTCTTCCCTGAGATCAGGGCCAGCTAATAAGTTGGATAGCAGTTAGGGCAACTCTACACATGCTAAAATATCTGCAGTAATGTAACATTCAAGGACTTCTGCTGAAGCCTGAACTGTTACAGGAAAGGAATCACCCGTCTCCCTTCTATTTTATAGTCCTACAGACTGTTTTTAGCTCTAGCTAAAAACCTTAATTCAGGTTTAGGGGATGTATTTGGTACCCATGTTGGTCTGAGATGAACAGAAATGCAAAAATCTAGAACGCTTGGTTCAGAAATGATGCCTTTTATTAGACCAACTAGGAAATCTCAAAAAAAAAAATCTTTTCTATTTCCTACCTATGGAGACTTTTTACCTTCTTTACTTTTCCCAGAGCCTGATGAAGGCTGTTTGAGCCCAAAAGCTTGTAGAAAAAGAGAATTTTTTTGTGATTTGATCTAATAAAAGGTAACATTTCTGAACCAAGAGTTCTAGATTTTTGCATTTCTTTAACTCAGGTTTAGTACCGTTAATTCAGATATAGAAGTGATTGACCATTTAGTATTAGAGGCACTGTCAAGATGCTTAAAAAGACTTTTTATTTTGTTTGACAAATTTGAATAAGAAATGTGCAATTAACTATAATGACTTACAGGACTAATGAAACAATATTCAACTATTTTGACCATTTTTTGCCTAGCCTCTGGGTTTCTTAAACTTAAAATATAGACTTGAAAATGAGCGCACATTCCAATAAAGGTATATTTGTTTTTGCTTTGATCTTAAACTGAATCTTGCTAGTCCCCTAGCATATTACTAAAGCTTATCGTTTCTCTTTAACTGGAGGAAAAATGTGTTGTGTTATATATAATGATGCAGCGCATAATCTGCATTCCCCTTTTCAAAATCCTAAATCTGCCCATGGATGTACTGATATAAGTCCCAGTTTAGAGAGAGGTTATGCTGGTAGGAGCTCATCTGTCAGCATAATCCTATAAGAAACAGCCTATGCTGTCAAATGCACTTTTCCACTGACAGATTTGCATCTGTGCTGCAGCTTTGTCAGATGATGATGACGACAATACAGAAATTTTATAGATCGCGCCCCAGCTGACCTGACCGAACCAGCAACATTTTTTGGAGTGAAACATGACCTATGACAGCGACCAGTTCTCTCTCTGGTGCGTTGCTTTCCAGTATGCTGCATTCATGTGCTCGGTATAGAGATCAACACCGGGTTCATTTCAACCCGATTATTTTATTTTTAGTCTCTGTTCTCTGAGCTGCATGTCTGAGAACATAAATACAAGCATATGACCCTTCAGAAGCTAGTATTTGCTTTGGCATTGATGTTTAAAAAAAAATCCAAGCTGCTCTTTGTTCTGAGTCTGTATTTATCACTCCCGGTATCAGAGAATCATAGAGAAGTCGGGCTGGAAGGGACCTCTGGAGGTCATCTCGTCCAACCCCCTGCTCAAGGCAGGACCATCCCCAACTAGCTCCCTATCCAAATCATTCAAGTCCTTATTTAACCTAAAAGTAATTGTTCTACCTTAAAGCAATTTCTTAGCCCTGCTGCAATTTCATCTAGTAGGTATTATGAGACATGGAAACGAGAGTACAGTTAGGGTTAATCAGACTGCTTTGTATCGCAGTATGTGGTGTTGTGAACATCCCTAGATCCAGTTGAATGCAGTGGAAGATGCGTGCACGCAGCACTCCTCAGGGTCTCAGCCTCTTCCCGTTGAAGAATCAGGCCCTTGGTGAAAAGATCGTTTCCTGATCTTTCTGGCGTGTACTTCTCTCCTCCTTTCTTCTGATCTTCATTTTAATTTTTAAAAGCTCTGCTACGTCATAATAGATTGTTCCCAAAAATTCAGCTGTTACAGCTGCCAGGTTCTACACACCTAGACACTGAGGCAACCTGCTTGCTTCAGCACAGTCCTTCATCCATATTTTCCACAATACAGACAAATGCAATAGTGGATGTTGTGCCTTGAACACTTATCCTGCTGACCTGACTCCCTCTTCTTGCTCCTTTTCTGGCCCTGTGCCTCTCACAGTCCATTCTCTAGACCACAGCTTTGGTGGTCAGAGCACTCTCCTAGGAGGTGGGAGATGTGGGTGTGAAACCCCTTAGCCTGAGGAGGAGATTGAAGTGAGTTCTCTAATTCTCTGGGTGAGGGCCCTAACTTCTAGGCTATTATCTAAACGGTGGGTGGTATTATTACCATTTATATGGGTGGTGGTCATTTCTTTCCAAGAATACAGGGAAGCACCTTCCTTGGTAGCCAGTGGGGTCTCCCCGGGTTCAGTACTTGGACCAGTGCTTTTCAACATCTTCGTCGATGACCTGGATGCGGGGGTGAAAAGCACACTGGCAAAGTTCGCCGATAACACTAAGCTGCGGGGAAGTGCGGCCACGCGTCAGAGCAGGCTGATGATCCAGGCGGACCTAGACACATTAGTGAGATGGATGGACCAGAACCAGATGCCGTTCAACACTGAGAAGTGCAAAGCGCTCCATCTGGGGAGGAAAAATCAGCAACAAATTTACAGGCTCGGTGGTGCTATGCTAGCTAGCACCACGTCCGAAAGGGGGTCATAATTGACCATAAAATGAATACGAGCCACCAGTGTGATGCTTCAGTTAGCAGAGCAAACAACGCGCTGGCATGCATCAACCGATGCATCTCAAATAAAACTAAGGAAGTGATTCTCCTGCTCCATTCAGCATTAGCGAGGTCACAGCTGGAGTCCTGCATCCAGTTTTGGGCACCACACTTCAAGAAGGATGTGCAGAAGCTGGAGAGAGTCCAGAGAAGAGCCACTCATATGATTAGAGGCCTGAACAGCAAGCCAGATGAGGAAAGGCTGACAGATAGGGGACTGTTCAGCTTAGAAAAGAGAAGACTTCGGGTTATTTGGTGGCTGCTTACAAATATATTGGGGGGTGCATCAGGGGCGAGGCGAACAACTATTCACCAAAGCACCCCAGGGGAAAACCAGGAGCAACTGTCATAAACTCCTAGAAGAAGGTTTCAGACTGGATAAAAGGAAAAACTTCATGGTTTGTGGACCAGACTCTGGAATAGACTCCCAGCGGGGCGGTGCAGGCACCTACCCTGGAGATCTTCAAAAGAAGACTGGACACACACCTTGCTGGGGTTATTTGACCCCAGCCTGTCTTTCCTGCCCAGAGCAGGGGGCTGGACCCAATGAACTCACGAGGGCCCTTCCAGCTCTAAACTTGTGTGACTCTGCAGTGGTCTGAGTCCAGAGAGGGGCTTGGCATGATTGGCTTCTTTGGATCATGTTTCTGATGCACCTCTCTTCCCTTGTACCCTGGATAGGGAGCCTAGCATCTGACTGGGCTTTGGACTCCACTTTGGGAACCGGGAACCTCAAAGCTGGGTGTTGTGGCACGTGAGTCATCATTGATGTGGCCCTAAATGACTTGCTCAGGGTAACATGAGAAATCATTGGGTACTGAAACCACATCTTCTGACTCTCGGTTCAGCCACAAAAGCATCCTCTTTTTCTTATCTAGATGTCTCTAGATAATGTTGAAGTCTCATGAACTTGGCACGTGACCTTTTGAACAACTGGATCTCGATAATATTCTTAAGCTCTCCAGACAACAAGTTCACAGACAACTTGGTGTGTGATGTTGAATGTGGAACCGGAAAACGCAACTTCTGATTTCTCATTCTAGCTCTGAAGCGGATTGACTATGCGACGTGAATCTCTCCTCTGTATTTTTTCCTGTCTATGATTGATTGATTAAGTGAATTAAAAACTGAAGTGGAGGGAGGAGTGCTTGTTTACTAACCCTGAAGGAGGGTTGAAGAGATTGTAATGTGTGAGAAAGTAAAGCGCTGTGTAACTGGGAAGCAGTCTGATGGATTGCAGGCTCCTGATGGATTAATGTCACTTCAGTGACATCAGTAATACTGTCATGTTCACTGCAAATGGCCTTTATTGCCTTTAAAGAATACATATTTTTCTTCACAGCTCCAAAGAGTCATGTACCACTACTGGGTTATCCATAACCTCCTCGGCGCATGCATTCTCTATGGAAAGCCTGTCTGTCCCATCCCCAGCTCCCAACACTAGGTACCCTGAAGACACCAACACTGAACACACAGACATAGGAGGAATTGGGAATGGAACAGCAAATACGAAAGGTTTGAATTGTTTTCCACCTTTCTTTTCGGGGGTTTTTTTGGGGGGGGGGTTTGCTTGGGCTTTTAATCGGGATATTATAATAGTGGTGTACTTGCATTGAGATGCCATTGCAGTTACCCTGTTTGTGCATCTTAATGTTAACAACGACCCTGATTTCAGTTGGCCAGAAAAGTCTGTACGTGACAGAGAGTGATTGCAGTGCGATTGCCGCACGCTTGATATACCCCAGCTGCACGCCATCGCTGCCTTTTACACATGTTTAGCCTAGGTAACTAAGATCACAGGTGAATATTTAAAAGGACTGAAATTCTCCAGCTTACGAATGCTTCAAAAACATGTTCCTCCATGCTGGGAACCGTGTGAGGGAGGGAGGAAGGGAGCTACAGAGGAAGATGAACACCTGGGATTCAAACACATTTGGGACGTCTGTCACTTCTTCCACAGCACTGACTAATCGATGGCCTTTTTTTAATCCCTGCAGACATTGAACCTTCGAGTGACAGTCTTGAGAAAAAAGCCAGCAGATCCAAGTCCAGTTCTCGCGTGCCCCAGGTCACAAACCGGCCAGGCTCAGACACCAAACCTGTCCTACCTCCCATCCCGTCGGGGCGGAAGAGAACCAAGCCTTGAGGATTGGCACTAGCTGAGATCTTGCCTTGATCATGCAGTTTAACCTGAACGCTGATTTTTCACACAGTTCCCCCCTTGACGCAAGGAAAAGCCTGTCAAAGAATATTATATTCCTAAATCCATTTCTGATTAACTCTGAAGAGCTCTTCTTTCTCCAAAATAAGTTATTTATTTATAACTTTATTAAAAAGTAATTTTTGCTTTTCCCAGAGCTAGAAATGATTTCCCTAGGTGCTCCTGGCTTAGAATCAACACGGGATTTTTTTTTGAAGCCCCATGTGCCCAGATCTTCCAGGGACTTTTTTAATGTTTCTGTTTCACAGACTTAATTGAGATGTGGAAGCTTGGAGGCCTTGATAATAACGTCAGTTATAGTGTAAAACTATGGAATTATTTTTTGTTAAGGAGGATTTAATGTGATACTCTGGTTTAAGTGGGAAGGGGAAACTACTCCATTCCAAGGCAACTTTTTATAGAAGCTATTTCTTTGAGAAGTGAAAAGTTGTTCTTTGATGTGCGAGTATATGAACACAAATAATACAAAAAAAGGAATCATCAGTCAGAAACGTTAATTAGTGTGATTTTACTAACATTTTAACTATTATCTAATTATGCTGAGGGTGCTTTGGGCATTGTAAAGTAGAAACAGTGTCCATATGCCAATGCATAGATATAACTAATAACTCCATATGCCAAAAAATAAAAATAATAAAATTCTTAAGACTTAATGTTATTACATGATACAACTGTGGATATGCTCAACAAATAACGGTTGCCCACCTCATTATTCTGAAGGTGTAGTTGATATGGCTCTTTACATTGTACCGTCAAGGTGGGACACCTCTTTGCAAATGTGCAAAAAAATATGATCCGTTACACTAGCATTGATTAAAGGCTGTGGAGCTGCTCTGGGTTTACATCAAAGTAGCTGATTGGCCCATATAAATATGTAGATAAATGCTTTGTGTGGTTTTCAAAAGCACCTCATGATTAGGCACCAAACTCCCATCAAAATTGGTGGGAATTGCCAGGATGCACTCGGCCTGCTACGATGCTTTAGTAAACCCCACTACAGATCTATCTGTATCATCAGCTGCCCAAATATCTTTGCAAGTCTGTGCCCTATGGCCATACCTGGTCCACTGCCAACTCGCACAGTGACCTTGAGCAAGTCAACTTACTGTCTAGGTACATCTATTTCAGCATTTTACAAGTGGGGATAATTGTACTGACCTGTGTCTTGCTAGTGATACTAGGATTGCTTAATGTGTATGACGTACTTTGAGGTCCTGGCTCAATTATCACTGTTGTTATAATGTTGTAATAAGCAAGGAGAAACGGCCCCAGAGCTTGGTTCTGTAATGTCCTTATTTGTTCTGAGACTATTCTGAGTAGCACTCATTAAGCAAGGACAGACGGCAATGAAAGACATCTCCCACGCTCATGTCTGTTTGCTTTTCCATCTGATGTCCTAGGCATAAACTCCCTGTTTTAGTTCATCAGATTCCTCTTAAACACTTCTTCGGCCCCCACCAAATGTTATTCACTTCTATAAATAACACCATTAAAAACTCAGGCCTCTATACTGTTCTTCACTTTGTGGTCTTGAGGATGTGCTCTCTCTCCCCCATATCTCACACGGACCAGTCCTGCAAACACTTATGTATACGCTCAACATCAGTACCTTTAGACTCCATGGGAATACTCCTGTAAAAGATATTCACATACTTAAATCTGTGCAGGACCGCAGTCTTAGTCTTTAAGCTTTCCCAAGCAGGGATGATATTTGTCTAATTATACAGCCCCGAGATCGAAGTTGGTACCCACATTACAACATTATTCTTATTTCCCTATTGGAAGAAAAAATAGGACCCACCTGTGATCAACTCGGCAAATCTTAAGTTCGGGGCATTGGTTAGCTTATGTCAGTTGACAGCGTTGAAGTTTAAGGAGTGTTTCTGGCTTTGTAATTATTCTCTGGGCCCTGGAACCTGCACACACATACAAATGCAAATAGCTTTGTTGAGTTCAAAGAGATGGCTGATGTGTATAAAGCTACTCCGGTGTATGCATGCTTGCAGGATCAGTGCTTTGCACCCAATTCTTGGTTTAAAAAAAACCCTAAAGATGTCAAGTTCTTCATCTTCATTCATTAGTTTAGAAAGGTGATGTTCAGTTTGACAATATGTTGAGATACCCTTTTCCTTTTCCTTTGGCACCACACAGAATCAGAGGCAATGAGGGTGGAAAGGACCTCAGGAGGTCACCTCTAGTCTAACCCCCTGCTCCAAGCAGGACCAGCCCCAACTACATCATCCTGGCCAAGGCTTGGTCTACCCAGGTCTTAATCTCTAAGGATGGAGATCCCACCACCTATTCCAGTGCTTCGCTACCCTGTTACGTGTAACACGCTCTCTCTTTCTCTCTCCTACAGACCACAAACCTAACTGCTAGCCCAATTTGCAAGCTTGCCTGCAGGAATCATGTTGTTTTGACCTGCATTTTTCCTAGCATGCTCCGAAGCACAGTACCTCTCGCCAAGTGTGAAGGCAGCAGGGACTTTGTACTGCCAGTATGTAATATTTACATTTCGTTTAGCAGATTGTTGAGCTTCACAGTTCATCCTTTTTTAGTTTAGAGAATTTATTTTTGGTTGGAAGTTTAAAACTTGTGACTCGGCACCTCTATTTATAAATGCAGATAGTCAGGGCTGGTTTTCACAGCTCTGTTTTTATTGGCAGTAAATATGTTTGGATTATATCAGGGTAGGTTAGACACGGTCAAAGGGGTCTCAGGTCTTGAGTTGTGCAGAAGGTAATATTACGAGTTTTTTAATTTCCTCTTTTTAAATTAAACACATCAGATTAAAAAACCCAGCAGTTAAGAGGATGTACCCAAAACTTTTGGTATGGCTTCTTGCTTTGAGAACTCAGTGGTCAGTGCTGCACAGGTAATTAATGAAGTCTTGCATCAGTCGTGTTGGGTAAGTAGCGCTCCTGTTTGCAGATCGGTAAAACGAGGCAGGAGGAGGTTTGGTGACTTGTCCTTTTCACAGGGCTTCATTGCAGGAATTGGGAATAGAGCCCCGGGTCCTGTTCTAGCCAACAGAGGTGCTGATGCTTGAGGGAATGTGGAGGAAACTTTATATCTTGGGTAAAAGGGGAGGGTACCTTCAAACATTATCTAAAGCGGGGAACAGAATTAAAAAAATAAAATCCAGCTGATCTAAATCCTTCGGTAGGCTTCAATGGATGTCTTCCCCCGATTGCAGCGGCTTTTGGACTAGGTGCAAAATGACTGTCTCAGGCAAAGGTATTCTCCGGAAAAGATGTTGAGGAGAAAAAGATCAAATGATTTACAGCTCATCATCAAACTCAGCTTGTTAAAGGGTGTGAATCTCCAGCGCTTTGTCGCATGCTACATGTATCGCCTCTGTGAGAAGTAGGCAAAGAACGCTGCTGTTCTGTTTTCCCAGGGGTACAGGTTGTAGCCGTGTTGGTCTAAGGCAGGGGCGAGCAATTATTTTGGGCAGAGGGCCGCTTACTGAGTTTTGGCAAGCGATCAAGGGCTGCCTGACAGGCAGCCCAGGGCAGATAAATATTAATTTTCTAAATTTTTTAGGGGCCCCGTGGGCTGGATAGAATGGCCTGGCGGGCCGCATGCGGCTCCCGGGCTGCATTTTGCCCACCCCAGTCTAAGGACATAGGCAGACATAAAAGATATCAGATTTACCCAAAGAACCTTGTCTGCCACTGCTCTGCTTTGGTGATCTGTTTTATTCTCCCTTACAACAGCAGTTTTCAGCCCTAGACTCTAGGGACCCCTCTAACTTTTCAGGATTTAGCAGGACTCCTATTCAAAAAACTAGTATAAAGATAGTATGGCTATTATCATATAAACATTAAAGTTAAATAATATTTTATGAATAATATTTTATAATTCAGTACTATATTGTAATAGAATAGATAATAGAAATGTAGTATTCACCCCTTCAGGCTGCCAGCAAGGAGTGCACCCTTGGCGCTGTGTGGCTCCATGTGAGCTTGCTCCCAATCCAGCACGTGTAGATCCCACACGTGGTTCCAGGTCACTGCTAATTTCTGCCCTATTAGTTGCCTTAGGGTCATATCCCCTGAACTCCAGCTCTGGGGCCATATAGGACAGGGTCCAGGGCTCCTGGGAGAGGACAGACCTGCTCACTTCCATCACTGACACTCAGTCCTGACTATCTCAGGAGCCAGCCCTGGGAGCATGGAAAAAGAGAGAAGATGAGCTGGCTCGGTGCTTTGACACCCTTAAAAGGATCTTGTCACCCCAGTTAAGAATCACTGCTCTAGACCCAGGTGAGGGCAGGAGGCAACCTGCAGCACAGGTGCCTTGACAGCCTGTGTGTGGCTCGCAGGGGAGAGGGCGAGCAGCAAAGGCAGGAAAAAGAAAACAGAGCAGAAAATCAGGTAGGGAATACAGGGAAGAAAGCTGGAAGCACAGGGCTGGGAGCAGAAAGCAGAGCAGCAGGCCTGGCAGGGATCAATGTGATGCTCAGGGAGTGTGCAGGACTGAAAAGGTTGGCTCCCACTGCTCTGGAAAGTGGAGGTGTAGATGTGACTTGCACTGCAATAGCCCACCCCGCGGGATGTTGGTTCAACGTGGAGCCCCATGAATCTTCATCCCTTTTAAAAATCCCAGCCGCTGCAGCAGTTGGCCCTGAGAAATGCGTTTTTAATACTGCTGCAGGTATGCAACAGGATGGTTTACTTCTGTGATATGCTAAAAGAAGGCATAAATCATTTTTCAAGAACACCTTTTGAAAGCACCATGTGGCGTTGCAGTGATGGCTAGCTAACTTCTCCTGTTCCCTCTGGGGCTTGTCTCATTGAATATGCTGCATAATGTGCCATTAATTTGGCAGCTGTCAATGTGAATAATTATTTTTTATGGTACATGAAGGGATTTTTGTTTTATTTTGTTTTCCTAACAAAAGTGGGGAGTGTGTCCACATCATGCACCTGTGGTTTGATTTGCTTGAAGACCTCTGGAAATCCCGTTCTGCCCTCCTCTCTCCATCCTTTGTCATTTCACTTGGAGGTGTCTTCGGTGCGTGCCTTAGGCCTAAGTTCACACAAAGAGATCTCTCTAACTTCAGTGGGACTTTTTGCACACAGAAGAGTCTGCCATGGACCCTGATCCTTTTCGGAGCTCAGGCAACACCCAACTGGCCAGCAGCCTGGCCGGGGGTGGCACGGGGAAGGGGACTCTGGGGGGGAAAAAAGGGTCGGGCATCTCAGAGCTCAAGCAACAAGTAGGTCCAGGCAATGGTGGGAGGTACTACAGCCTCCGGGCCTACAGCAAGGCGATACTGCCTGTAGCTCCTAGTCCTGCCTCTGCTCACCAAGCCTCTAGTGGCAAATCAGAACTGTGCAGGTGAAGGACAGTCAGGGGTAGTTTTTTGCCTTAAGGTGTGACTGGTCCACTAAGATGAACAACACTAAGCTGATTAACATTTGTTTGACTTACAGCATAAGGTGTAATAAGGCCCTTCCTCTCATTGGGACCACCTGCAGGTTAAGGGTGTTGATCCTGCAAGCTGATTTGCATGGACAAACTCCCTTATGAGCTCGATTGATGCACCCGTAAAATACTACATGATCCCTCTCTGCAGCCAGCAGTGTTGTAGGTCCTTTCACCAATGGTCAATGTAGCCGACTGCATCC